TTCTGTTGATGACTCTCCAAATTTGTATGATGAGTTATTACTTGCCTCCTGAAGTACTGTCATTAAGTAGGACATTTTTATCATCTCCTTATCAACATAACTGTGTAAATCTGATAGTCTGTTACTAGGAATTTATCGTTTGGTTAAGTCCAGGACTCTCATAATTTCGTTTGAATTATCTATTATATGCATTTACTTTCATTTAAATCAGTAGATTCATGAATTTGTGGTTTGTTTGTGGAATCAAAGGTCCAATTCAAAACATGACCTATTGGCTTGTTAGATCCTCATGATATAATACAATAATTCTATCTTAATGTATGTAAGTGAGTTGACCAAAGTAAAAGTATCCTGTTTCTTTGTATTTTAATTCTAGACCTGCTGCTAACATGGGTTGTCAATTGCTCGTAATTGGAGGACAAGACAAAGGAATTAGACTATAAATTAGATCACTACTATTATATGTTTAAATTTGGTTAAGTAAATGAATCAAATCTCTTGTCAATGTGGTGTGTGGCCGTGAGAATTAGGCCTAATGTGGTTCAGTCGCCAAACCATAGGCCGGAACATCACCATACCTTCCCCCCCCCCCCCAATTAATTTCACTGATCAGGGGCCTGTGCGATTTGGGCCTAAAGCCCAGTTCCTGTTGTTTCCGTACCAGGCCTGCTTGGAAGTCTCCATTTAGGACAGTTTTTTTTTATTTCTTAAAACAAAACTTATTACAGCTTCCTCTTTTAGTGGGCTAACTTTGAAGCCCAAAAATGTTGAAGGCTTGAATTCATATTAAGTTTATGGGATTAATTTTGCAATACAATTTTGGGCCTTCCAAGTTAAGTAGCACATTTGAATTAAGAGGCTTTCCTCTTGTTTAAGTGTGGACTTGAACTTGAGTCCCAAATTCCTTGAATGCTTTTAATAATAGTAATTAATAATGCGGATTAATTAGGGCCCCTTTTAGAGACAATACTTAATAGAAAATCATAGTTCCTTTAGGTTGGCCTTAAAATAAAAATGAGGTGCACCACGCCAAACAAAATTCATAAATTGCGTGGCCCTCTCTAATACTCATTAAAAATATTTAGAACTCGGGGCGTGCCATTTAGCGAATTTTCATGGCCTCCCGCAAAGTTAATAACACGTTAGCCGCTTTAGGCGCGTTCTTTAATAATTTTACCTTCCTAAACTCGGGTGTGCATTTCATGTGACCCAAATCCAAATCCCAAAACGTTGAATAAAATGTGTCGAGGATCCGTGTGCATTTCATGTGACGTGATCCAAAAACATGTTTTAAACGACGTTCAATTTCCTAAAATTAATTAAAAGCGGTAAATAATTTTAAAAATTGCACTATAGGATGACATGTATTGAAATCAGATTTTTAGCCAATTATAATAGTTTAAGCGACCGTGCTAGAACCACGGGATCTGGGGGTGCCTAACACCTTCCCTCGGGTCAACAGAATTCCTTATTCAGAATTTTTGGTTCGCAGACTCCATTCGGGAAGTCGAAATTTTCCTCGATTTGGGATTCAAGATAAACCGGTGACTTGGGACACCAAAAGCCAAACCTATCCCAACTGGTGACTCTGAAATAAATAAATAATCCCATTTCAAATAATGTCACTTTAATTGGAAAAATTCCCTTATACACTATCCTTCGAGGTGGGTGTGTAAAAAAGGAGGTGTGACACGTGTATTTAATTATAAACGGAATCATCAGGTATACTCGTACTTCTTTAGAAGAATCTCCAATTAACATTGAAGGATGCTAGTACTATTTGACAAATTTAGAGAAGAGTAAGAACAAACAAATATACGTATAAAGGATCTAATTATTTTTAACGTCAATAACTTTTACCATAAAAAATATATGCTGCCAAAAGAATAAATCTCAATTACATATTCTGTCTCAACAAAAAAAGTTCCTAAAATTTTCTACACAAACAAATCAGGCATCTGCCTTTTTCTGTAAAGCTCCTGACTCGACAACACGGTATTAATCAACAATGATACTGGTTATGAGTCTAACGTCTATACGAATATAGTATAAGTGAAGAAAATTCAGATGATTGAGGTTAGGGATTGTGAATTTTATTGGGATAAAAGAAGGCGAAACTTTCAGAAACCACTATGTTTTAGTGGTTATTAGCTAGTTGTAGCTATCATTTACTATATTACTTCCTATAGCTATGTTTTCAAATTTTTTAGAATGTATTTGATGTATTTAAGCTACTGTATTCATGAATACAGTAGCATTTCTAGGCGTGAATTAGGGGATTACAGCTAGACAGATTTTTGTATTCGAGTGTATTCGACTGTATTCATGGCGTGAAACATGGGATTACAGCTGAACAGATTATTGTATTCGGCTGTATGCACGGCGTGAAATAGGGAATTACATTATTTTTTAAACGGAAAGTGAATCAATTAACATAATAGACTCCTAATATAACTCAATAAACTCAATTATAACACACAAATTTTGTATTTTCAGTTATAAAAAAGATTCTCAACCGAAAAACACCTTAAAAACATAGCAATCTTCAGAGAAATTATATAATACATCTGAATACATAAATTATATTAATTAAATAAAACATATGAATACATTCATGGAATATAGCGAGACAGTGTATACAATGAAATACATAGAATACAGCGGGATACATTGAAATACAAAGAGAAAAAAATAATGAATACAATGAAAAACATATAATACAGCAAGATACAATGGAAAGAAAAAATAATGAATACAATGAAATACAGCGAGATACATTGAAATATATTAACAGAAAATTCAAGGTGCTCAGCCCCCTACTCTGTCGTCTTTGTTCAAGAACAACCCTAATGTCGTCTCGTTGAAGCAGCATCAGTATCCAGTCCTCGCTCGCCGTCACCATTACCTCCGGTTGCCGACAATTAGCACGTAATTACCGGATTGAAGACAAAGCATGTGATGAAGGGGAGAAGAAGAAACTTAGAAGACGCTCTAATAGACTGCCTCCATCGACGGATTCTTCTCCATCTTCGGAGGAGAAGTCGTGTTCTCTGCCGCTTATCAAAAGTAGAAGCAACAGAAGTCGAAGTCCAGTGCCTTCATCTTCAGCCTTGATCCGGCGGAGGAGAAGACATCGGGAAGTAGAGAGAGAGAGAGAGAGAGAGAGAGAGAGAGAGAGGGGGGGGGATAATAGATATGGGGTATAGGGGATAGGAGAAATTTGAGGGGATATGAGAGAGAAAAATAATACAAAGGTCATTTTATAGCTTAAGGGTAGGAGGTGACTATAAATAGATATTTGGCTATAAAAAATCAAAAGGTAGCTATGGAATATAATTTTTTAAAAGGGTATTTATTTAAAATAAATAAGGTATCAACCTTTGCTATAGGTAACTTATCCATAAAAGAACCGTTGGTGACAGCTTTAATTAGTGTTTACCACACATAAGATAAAATTCATTATATGGAGTGCAGTAATTACAAGACAACCGTCACTTTGATGTTGGAGAGGCACTATTAGCTAGGGCTGCTTATCGGGCGGATTGGGCGGTTATTTACTCTTAACGATTTGGCTTATCGGTTAGCGGCTTTTAAATGTTTTAATCCGCTAGCCACCTGATAAGATATCGGGCGGATTGGTATCGGTTTAGCTCTTATCGGGCGGTTTATCGGCTTAATTCAATCTATATTGCGTGCATTACAGATGGCGTACTATCGCAACAGATATACTGAGTGGCAAGGTTTACACGTTCCACAAGCAGTTGAATTGCGTGAAGACATATGCTCTCTTCTAGTAGTTCCAAGTTAGCCTGATGGTCAACTAAATGAGTCTCTTTCCTCTTTCACATGATGAATTTGAACTCATTACATATTGAGAAATTTTAACCAAGGTTGTTGATTATTACTATCGTTTTATGGTCCGCTTTAACGGCAACATATATTTTCTACCGGAAGGTAAAATTACCATGTTAATAATAGAATTCACTTTTAATTTGGAGGTGATGCTGCCTTTTCTTCCTGCTACTATTATGTATTATCTGCTTGAGAATGAAAAGGCACCAGATTAGCGATGACACGTGTTTGAACTTTGATGATGGCAAGTCAAGCGAAACTTAAGGTCAATGGTAACGCTTGGCCGATTATGATACTGGTGGCATTTGGATTGTATGCGGAACATAGAGATCTGATATCACCGGTGGCGTTTGGATTGAATTTTATATAAATATATATTCTTAACGGGTTAACGGATTATCCGTTAAGAAACTGAATAATCCGCCCCCAAACTGATAAGCCATTAATGAAAAAATTTCAATCCGTTCCCCGTCCGTTAAACCGTTAACCCGATACCAATAAGCCATTAAGCTTCGGTTTCGGTTCGGTTTTCGGTTTCGGTTCGATTTTGAACACCCCTACTATTAGCAATTGAAAGTTGATGATGCTTTTCACTTCTCCACTATTAATGCACAATAATTATTAAGTAATTAATTATTTTAAAGCCTTTAACTATGGGAAGTAGAAAAGAAATGAAATATGCAGACTTCTGGTCATTTTATAATTAGAAAAATACCCCCAAAAAAGGAGAAAAAAGATAGTAGCTGGCAATTTTTGTCTAACAGAGATGCCAAATCACCTCTTCCATTCCACCCTCTATATATATAGAGAGAGAGATATTTCTTTCTTTTATCACAACTTATTTATAAAATTATGAGTATGCAGAAGTTCATTTACCCACTGCTTCGTCAAACTCGCAAAAGTGGCCTAGTCGAGGAAAGCGTTACAAAGTATGCCAAGTTCTACCGGGAGCGAATGAAGAATAGCTGATAGTTACTATTGCTTTATTTACAGGAAGTAAGCATGTAATGTAATGTAAAATAAGGAATATTTATCAAGAACAGACCACAAACACATAAAGCGAGCTGTTTAGGCGTAGAGCTGGGAATGATTTTGACGAGGGGACTTGGTGAGTGGGGGGTGAAAGATAGAGAAAGCTAATGGGGAGATAGTACTATGAACACACAGCAGGTAATTAGCAATAATTCACCTCAATGTTTTGGCTCTCTGAGGCTTAACTTGTATACAAAAATAGAATAACCGGAATTTGCTAAATATACAAAAATAGAATAACCGGAAATTGCTAAATATACCAAGAAGTATCATCCATCCCCTCTTTTTCCCTAGCTTAGAATTTTTTCTTCAGATGTTGGGCATTCTTCTTCAAGCCTTAACTGCCCCAGTCATGGTTTTTTCATCATTCTTTGCCTTGGCATGAGCTCCATCTGCAGCTTTTGGCGCATTGCCTGCGACAATTATAAGATGTAAGAGATCAAACTAACGGGTTTTTTTCCTTGTAAGGATGATCGATGCAACAAGATGGAATTAACATCATGATCTACGCTAGCAGCTAATAATAATAGGTGTCCTTGAATGTTTTCTTCATTGTTTTTAAGGGTGGGCTAGATACACAAAGGGTACAATTCCCTGCTTTACCTCCCATGACACTTCGCTTGGAAATTTGATACTGTTGCATGATTTACTCCAATTCTTGTTCGAATTCTTGGAAGGATCTTACCCTGAGTCGCTCCATATCCAACTTACTTTCTTTCAGCCAGTCGAAATGACTTTTCATAAAATAGATGAAACCGACACCTCTAGAACCTATCAACTAAACAAACAAAAAAAGTAATAAATAAGTATCATAGTCCCTCTGAAAATAAGCATCCAATAAATGTGGTTTGCTAGACTTTGAGAGAATTAATATCAACAATGAAATAATTCTGAATACCGTATAACGAACGAGAACATCGACACCTATCAGCATTGCATCTTCCTCGTTAACACGCTTACGGATGAATGTCTGAATTCCATTAAAAAGAGAGAGCCGGTGTTAGCAGTTGGTTTGTCCAAGGTAAGCTTTGCTATATTTGAAATTATTTTAAAACTTTTTAAAGTTCTCTTTTCTTTTAGAAATTTGCTTTTCGAGTTCCAGCATGAGTAAAAAATATACTCCATTCATTTACCTGACCATATTCGGCGATGGATTGATTGAACTCGGGGTGGTGCAAGACTCCATCTTTTCTTCTCAGGATAGAAGTTATAGACCTTGATATAGTACCAATCCCAGCGTCAATAAGACGATCGAGTACTGAAATGATGACGAAAACTTGATTACAAACAGGAATTGTCGTGAAACAGAATATGCGAGAATACTTACCAGCTCAAAATACATATGATGTTAACTGCCAATTTACGCAGGCTCCAATTGTGTTTGGCCTCAAAGTTGGGGCTCAAGCCTACTCTGGATTTGTTACTTTGTTGGAAAGACCAAAGCCGAAAGCTTATTATTACCATTTACTAACTAAATTGGAGATGCAACTGGACCAACATATCTTGCATCTCTAAGATATTCTAAATTGATAAACCAACTATTTTCGTTCTCTCCCATTCTTAAGGTGACCAAGGAAAAGCTAGTTCTGTTTATTGGGATGTAAAATTTTTGGTCAAAGCTCTTCTTGACCAGGACAAAACACTGTCACTACCATCACTCTCACCTGTAAAATCCTAGGGCTATGACTCAATAACCTTAGAAGATAAAGAAGTATTTACCCTTTGTTTAACCTAAAATCCTATTTGATTTCTATGGATCACAATAGGAGCCCGAATTCACACATAGGTTAGCGGCATTGGCGCTTCAAATATATCTGTAAAGCATTTAGAGGTTTGTTTCTATCATCGGTTGATGCATAGAATGATGGGCACTTTCTAATAGAGGTTCGGGTTAGCTCTGTCCGTCAAGCAGCATAAAGTTACAAACTATTAAGAATATGATAACACAAACATCACATCTGGCCACGTCGCGATGCAAGATTTTGCAGCGATAACATAAAGCCATAAAATTTAAGAATAACAAAATGATAAATCAAATGAGAGAGTAGAATTCCAATGAGAAACCAGAACAGGGTTTAGCGCCTCCCCGTTCTCCTACCCCTTTCCTTTTAGATTCCCGTTTCTAGAATTAAATAAATAATAAAAGAAGGAAATTACAAGGAAAAGGAAGAACTAAAATCGTCGTCGGCAGCTAACGAAGCCGTCGGCTCCGGACGAAATTCTCCGAAAGATAGGGGAAAGGTATTAAATAAAGCGTAAAAGAGTGACGGAAAAGGACTTACCTGTGAAACCGCCGGTCCAGACGTCGGCTACCGATGTGTTCGTCGTTTGGTTAATTTGGGGAATGTTTCGGATGGTTCTAGGTCGTGTAGAGGAAACCGTGAATTTTAGGGTTTTTATTTATGCTGTACTGTCGTGGGCAATTAGTTTTGTCAGATTGAAAGGTTATTTTTTCTGCTAATTTCTGGGTATGCATTAACGTGTGTCAATTACATAATTTTAAGAAAATCACATAAAACAATATTTTTGAATTATAAATAAAATTAAAAGAACAGTTTAAGTTCTTGAAAGTGATGAAATTTGATCCTATTATAATGGAAAAATATTGGGAGCTAATAAAATATATCTCATGATAATTTATTTAGAATATATTTTTCTTTTACTCTTTTATTTTTATAACTTAAATTTGTATTTTAAATAATTTGACATTTGTATATTATAATCGATTTTGCTCTTTTTCAAATTTCTTCCTGAAAGTACAATAAGGGAGAAGAATTGTAACTCGTTCTTTTCTTTCACGAGTTAATTAACTAATTTTCTTGTTAGTCTGACTGGATTTTAGGGTTTTTATTTAGGGGGTTTTGACTCAATTACCCACAAAAACATAATTATTTATCTTTGTGTACCCATTTGTTTTTCTACCCATAAACTAATTACATTTCTTATCCATAGACCATAGTAGGTTTTCTGGGGAATTTTTCGGGGGTTTTGACACAATTACCCACAAAAACAAAACTATTTACCCTTGTCTACCCATTTGTTTTTCTACCCATAAACTAATTACATTTTTTACCCATAATAGTTTTTGTGGAGAATTTTTTCTTTATTCTCCAATTCTTTTTTAGTTCTATGCTTCTTTTCTTTCTTTTTTTTCTTTTTTTTCTTTTCTCCTTTTCTTTTTTCTCGTTTTCTTCTTATATTTTTTTTCCTTTTCTAATTTCATTTAACTTCTTTTTTTAATATTCTTTTTCTCTTCATAATCTATTTTATTTACTATTTTTACTATTTTTTATTATTCTTTTTTTATACTATTACTAAAGAAAAATCAAATTGTGTACCAATTAAATGTAGCTAATACAACCAAAAAATATTAACTAACATATGATACCCGTATAGTATATAACTATACCAATATGGTATACAATTGTACGCAAAGAGTTAAAAAATTTAATTCAATTATTAAACTGAAATAATATCAGTTGTAAATAAAATTTCAAAAAATTCTAAAAGGATCTAATTGTAAGAGTATACTGTTACATTATATATCATACTATAATATATTTTTTTGCATTTTCAATTTGTCCCTCACGCTGGGTAAAAGCGTAAAGCAAATTAAAAGGGAAAAGGCAAGTGAATTTACGTGTAAAAGTATGTGTATATATATATATATATATATATATATATATATATATATATATATATATATATATATATATATATATACACACACACACTATTACAACATACTGTTACAGTATATTGCATATTATTACAGTATTATAACAATATATTGTATATTATAATAGTATATTGTTGCAGTATAACTATATACTCTTATAGTATACTAGCTTTAGTGTACGTGCATTGCACGTGTACCTAGCTTCAATCAATAAAGTGCAGGAAGAATATGTAAATCAAGTTATCAAATGTAAAGTTTTAAAATGTCTACATTAAGTTACTGTTTTGAACGAATACAAAAAGAAAGAAAAATAATTAATGACAACTCACTTAGAATATATTTTATCTTCTAATATATCCTTATTGTTTAAGGTCGGTATTTTTAACAATTTGACTCTTAATGCTATATTATAACCGATTTATATGATGAATTTCGAAGAAAAAAAAAGACTTGGATTTTTCGCAAATTAGTTGAATAAAAGAATTTTTCGATTAATTAATTGACTTAATTATGTTAAAGAGAATAATTCTTTTATTTTTCAAATCATTATTAGCTCATCCCAAATTTTCAATATNAGGGGGGGGGGGAGGGGGAGGGGTGAGGAGAGTTGCATAAAAAATATTTTCTACTCTCTAACCAAACAATAGAAAGTATTTTCCGGAAAATGTTTTCCACTTACCAACCAATCAAAAGAAAATAAGTGATAAAATCATCATTTTCCATGAAAACATTTTCTAGGAAAACATTTTCCTTCGTACCAAACACACCCTAAATCTAACCTTTTATAACAAAAAAAATACTCATAAACCTAATAAAAGGATTACTCGTGAAGTGATTGGAATTCAATACCCTAAATCTAGATAGAGTTATAGGACTCCAATTAAATAATATAATTCTCTAGATAAGTAGTAGGAAAATAATTAAGAGATTATTGCTAAATAATAGGGAAATAATTAAAGGACTATTCCTGCAATTTAGGAAAATAACTTAAATTACTATTTTATCCAATATGAAAGCTAGTTTTAAAGGGTAAAAAAGACGAACGACATTTCGCTAAGGGCCCTCGTGCTTTTAGTATAGTATAGATTGTATATTGTAGCGTTATACCGTTAGATAACTGTGTTCTTCTTTGATTATTACAATATACTATTACGGTATATTGTAAACTATAATAGTATATTGTTGACGTATAGCTATATACTCCTACAGCATATTGTATACCGTAGCGGTATACTGTAGCTGTGTTCTTCTTCGATTTATTTATGTTGTTCTGTCGTGGGCAATTAGTTTTGTCAGATTGAAAGGTTATTTTTTCTGCTAATTTCTGGGTATGCATTAACATGTGTCAATTACATAATAATAATAATAATAATAATAATAATAATAATAATAATAATAATAATAATAATAATAATAATAATATGTATCTATATCTATATCTTCTATATATATTATATTAAAAGCACGAAGGTCATTAGCGAAATGTCGTTCGCCCTTTTTATCCTCTAAAGATAACTAGACAAAATAGTCATTTAATTATTTTCCTAATATTTTGAACTTTGAAATCAACTAAAAATTTGTTTATCAAATACTTGCTTATTTTAAATATATACAAAATCCTAAACATGAGGACTCTTCTCAAATCCTTCTAGGTTTCCAAGTTTGTTTTTTAACCATGCTGGGAACTAGGGGTGTCACTGGATATTTGAAAACCGACTAAACCAGTCGAACCGTACCGCACCGAACCGATTTTTAGGTTTTTTTAAAAAATCCGTAGGTTTTTATATAAATCTATAACCGTACCGATAATTAGGGTAGGTTTTTTATTTTATAAAAATAAATCGAAAAAATACCGAACCGTACCGAATAAATTTTATATGTGGAAAATATATTTATATAGTAAGTTTAAAAATAATAAAGCATTAAAATTTTCTTTGGGACTTGGAATTATGAAAAATGTTACAAGCCAACAAGTAATTAAACTCAAAATACTAATTCCTAAAACCTATTATGCTACTTCTACTTAAACTAAGTTATTTCAAGTATTTGGATTAGCAAGACACAAAGTATTCTAGCGATTATGATTAGCAAGCCACAATACATTGAATATGTTTCCTTTAATATAATTTAGATTTATCTTTTTGAATATTTAATCTTCTATAGACTTTATTCTTGAGTCTCAACTTGGTTAATATCTTTCCACTCGTGTGATTTATATTTTTTTTGCTTTTACTTGGTTGCTTTTACGTTGTTGTAGAATAGTTGATGGATCTATACTCTAGCCATCTTTCATATTTTTTTAATTTATCACCCTTTAAATAGTAAAAATGTCTAGAGAGTTTTGCTAAGTCGTATAAAAGAACGTATGTTACTGTATTCTACGTCTACTGGTAAATTTTACATGACATTTAAAAAAATACCAAAAAATAACCGAACTGTGCCGATATCGAAGAGAAACCGACATGGTTGGGACGGTTTCGAAAAGTCTAATCTTGGTTATACATAGTAGAATAACCGAAAAATTGGTATGGTACAAATTTTATAAAATTACCGGCCGAACCGAACCATTGACACCCTACTAGGAACCGTAGGCAAATATTTTTCCAAGGCTTTGCCCTTTCTATTTTGATAGAAATAATTAATTATTCTTGGTCTCAAACTTAGATAGTTAATTATAATAAAATTCTATATATTTCCAATTCCCCATCACGCATATTTATGTCAAACTCGTGTAACTCTTTTGTTAAGCAATATAATTATCGTGCTTTTATGTTAAAAAAAACCTTTTTATTTTGTTATAAATAATTTAAATTTTGCTTGAACTTGAATAGTTAAATATAATAAAATTAAATCTCTTGTCAAATCCAAATTATACATACTTTTTACATCATTTTAGTCTATTTCTATTAGAGTTATCGGCTAATTTGGTAACCAAAAGCGAAAAATAGGCAAAATAAATTTTTTAACAAATTGTTATTTTGAATTTTGGTTTCTTCCTCCGTTTATTGAAATGGTACGTTAACTTTTTGATAGATTTAACTAGAACCATCCCAAAATATTGGGGCAACTATACATCTCATCATTAGAGCAATAAAATCTATATCTATCTATCTATATTATATTAAAAGCATAAAGGCACTTAGCGATGTATGTATTCTACATCATTAACCTATGTATTCTACGTCTTCAGTCTTTTATGTAGACGTCAGTAATGGGCCAACAGTAAACATGGAAAGAAATTGCTCAAGGACCAACGCCGAAAAATCAACAGAACAGAGACATGGTTTGGAATACCCGAGCGCAACCTATAATTGAGGAGACCAAATATACTCTACCAGTTTCATACATTCTCAACTTCATTAACCTATATATTCTTCGTCTTGTGTTTTCTATGTAGTAGACAGTAATAGACCAATTAAAAACCAAAATTGATAATGGAAGTCCTGCAACTTATTTTAACGCAGTATCAGACACCAGACTCTTATCTCAACCCAAAAGAGTGTAAAAAGAGATCATGCAATTTAGTTGTGCAAAGCATTAAATTACTACCTGAGCATGGTCTATTTCATGAATGAGTTTCTTTATCTTCAGTTGCAGCTGCCATACCTGCTTCATTTATGAACTCATCATGTCCACCTTCAATTTACTGACAGATTTGCTTACATTAAACCCATCCCATCTAGGCATCCCCTTGTTTATAACTAACAAATAAAGAGAATATTGTTTAACCAAAAAATAG